AGTTATATAGGTGGATTGAAAGTGCATATAGGTGGATCGAAAAGACCTGGATGGAAAAGACTTTGGTTCGAAAAGACCGGTTACCAATAGAGTTTTGGATAAATTTTTACTAAAAACGAAAATCAATCTCGTGCATTCTCATCCCCAATTTAAAAAGAAAATTTCAACAGAGCCTTTATAAAATGTTCTTATCAAGGTCGTCAAATCTTAAATTATGACTTTTAGGCAATAAAATGCTTCATAAATTCTTGTTATCTTATGTAAGAAAGACCTTTTGTGGCTGAGCGCGAACTTTATATTCTAGTTTGAATAAGGAACACATGCGAGCTGTTTTCACGATTATAAGTCGTTGTACTAACTATCGTAGTCCTGAGCTTCTAGCTGTTGTGTATAGTGACTGAAAAAGTATAAAATAAAGTTGCAGAATGGACTAAAAGAAACCTTTAAACTTTACGGATTCAGAGTGATGCGAAGGTGCGAACCTTTTTCACTTCACTTGTTCATAAAAAATCTCGATAAACGAAAATTTTAGAGCAAATATTTTATGGACTTTTGTACCTCATAAAATTTTTGATTCATATTTGATACTCATATTTTGTAAATCAAGGTCAAATAAAGTAAATTTGAGGTTTGAAAACGCTTGACTACCGTTTGTTTGTTCTCAATGATCGTTTCAGCGGTTTCCGACTGCTTCAAAATTGTCGTTTCAGCTGTTCAAAAAAAGTCCTATTTCCACACAAAATAACGATGTTTGAACGTTTAACTACACAATTATTGAATCTATGATACTGAAATACTATTCCTCGAACACTGAAGCCAGTAAATACTTGATAATTTTATCTCAAAGGACACAAAACGACTTCAACTAAAGTGAGTTCGTTCACGCCAACGGCCATCTTACCCGAGTCACACTGTCTTCGTTCAATAAATCCATCTTTCACGTTCCTCTAGTCCAAAAGATTACCAAAATACTCTCTTCTAGTCTTCATTGTAGTCTTCTCTTTCCAAAATCAATCATAAACAATAGTTTACGACAAGAAAACAGAGAATATTCAAGGTATTTCTCACCCGTTCACACGTGCGAAAAAACCACACGAAGAAAGCTACCACACGCGTCTTGACACAGGCAACCCAATACGCTTAAATATTTGTATAAAAGAGGCATGGGTACTAATGGAATCGCTATGGCAAAAAGTGTGTTTTTGTTTCGGCCCTCAGGCCGAAACAGTCACTACATTCGGTTTGCCGGCCCATAATAGTCTTCATGCGTGTCATTTAGCTGTCAGAGTTTTGGACCTAATCCAAACACATGCAATGGGAAAATGTAAAACATTTCACCATGCGGAGTATTTGGAAGAGTTGCGGTGAATCTTCTCTGAGGTAGTTGTGTAGACTATATTATGCCCTTTCGCATGACGCCATTTTTTGGAAAAAAATATATTATTGATTAACCTTACAACAATACGTATTTTATTCCTAAGTCAGTATCTAGGTCCAAGTCGCCAAGTAGGTAAGTTATTGAAAAGTTATCCAAAAGCTTTTGTGATTGTGCGGCAAATTAGGGCAATTTGCCAGTCTCAGCTGCCTGTGAGCATAAGTTGAGGAAACTGGTGAGTTTATTTATGTAACTAACAGTTGATGCATATATATTTTGTGAAGCAGGCTTCCGATATGTTGTAGCTTCGTGCGCATCTGAGGACATGTTTTTGGTATCAGATATTATTTAAACTAGGTCCTATAAACAAACAGTGCGTACTTTACAACTTTAAAGATAGAAGTCTGAAATCATCAGTTTTCATTTATTAATACTCTGATTTATAGTATTGATTTCTTGGATTCGGTAATATTTTTGAAGCACCAAAAGATGTAAATTTTTGAAGCACCAAAAGATGTAAATTTTTGAAGCACCAAAAGATGTAAATTTTGAGTAGATTGGTGACGGCGCACTGGTGAAAGACAAGTGTTATATCTTTTCGTTCGAATTGAAACTTTCGTATTTTCTTCAAGCTACGATATAAGAGCTAAATACATTTACCATAAATGTCAAAGAGCAGAATGAAGGTTTAAAAAGTATCCTACATTCAACATAGCGCGTACAGTAATGCTCATGTGCCAAAATATTTTGCACCAAGTACTCTGCTCTCTGCGATACTCAATCATTGTTTATATCTATCTCGGATCTCTCATTCATTCGGCGAGACGTTATATGTATGTACGTTGCCCTGTTTTCCCCAAAAAACTACGATGTTTCAAAACAAGAACCACTAAAATCTCAAAAAACTTAATTACGATGTGTTTCGTCCAAGAGAATTTTATAACAAATGTTTCCATCGAAATTTGCGTAAGACTTCGTAACGTGAAAGTGTACCGCGAGATCGCTCTTGTCTGCCATTTTCAAAATACAGGAGACCCAATCATTACCACAGCAAGACCAAAATTCTTTATTCAGCAATGCCACACAATAAATAGATAACGGGCCGAAACATCATCGCTTTCGAAGCGATATAGGCTTGTTTTTTTTGTTTTTTTTTTCCTCAAAATAATTAAGAAATATTTCAGAAAATTAATATTTCGTTGTCTCAAGCTACTTACCTATGAACGGGAAGAGTAAATTACAATTTTATGGGTGAAAGAAATAATTATCTACTGTATAGTGCGTTTAGGACCGTAACAAGAGCTCTTGCGGGGTGGGTGCACAGCCACTAATTAAGGTGCTGACACACGGTGCAGCATTGAATGCAAAAGGACTGTTGCAACGTGTGTACCCCTGAAACGTGTTGCATGCAACGTTGCATATTACTTGCAACATTTTGAAATTTCCAGCCAATCGGCTTGCACCAAATTTATAACTGCTGACCAAATATCTTAATATAGCAGGCTGACACAAGCGATGTTGCGTGATTTTGTTGCAATGTGTGTCACCCCGATTCGAATTTGTTGCTTGCAATGTTGCGTGCAATGTTGCAACGTGTGTCACAACGATTGATCAAATAACCAGCCTAGAAATTCCAAAAGGAAACAAAAAAAACAATAATGGTAAGCGATAAGGCGCGAACACACCGTGCAACACTGCGCGCATAATTGCAGGACAGTTTTCTACTTCAGCAACGTTGCGTGCAACAAATTGCGTCGTCCCTTTTCTGGCAACGTTTGCCGACAAGAACATTTATTGCACTAATTGGATCTCTATATCATATGCCCACAAAGGACTAGTGGGTGGTACCGTATAGACTATTGCGCAATATCTGCATTTTCTGACAAGGAAAATAAAAAGTCAATTTGGTTCGTAAGGATGGATAATGGGCGTACAGATTAAAGACATTTAACAGCCAAAACAGGGACGTCGTAAAAAACTTAACTTTTTCTGAGAATTTTGAGCGCCAGCATAAAAGGTACGAACACACGGTGCAACACTGCACGCAACATTGCACACAAAAAGACTGTTGCATCGTGTCTACCCCTGGAACGTGTTACACGCAACATTGCATGGAACAAATCTGAAGTTGAATTGCGCTATACTCTTGCAACATTGCGCGCACCAAATGTTATCGTGTGAACATGGCTGCAACATTGTGTGCAACATTTTAAAATTTACAGCCGTTCTTCATAGCATAGTAGGCTGACGCAAGCGATTTTGCGTGATTTTGTTGCAACGTGTCACTCCGATTCAAATTTGTTGTGCGCAATGTTGCACCGTGTGTCCGCGCCCTTAGTTTTAGCGTCGTAAAATGCGCGCGCATGTGTTTGTTGAAATCTAGACATTAATACTAACGTAAAATAAAGTTTATCATTATTATTATTATTATTATTATTATTATTATTATTATTATTATTATTATTATTATNTTATTATTATTATTATTATTATTATTATTATTATAAATATCAAACTTCGAAAAACAACACAGCCATGTTCTCACAGTTATCTCGTACCCGTCAGTCATTCCTCATGAAGAAGTCATACATTAGAGCTCTATTCAATGGAAATGCCGTGCAAAGCCGCATCCATTGCGGAAGACAACCGAAAGACAATAGCGACCTTTAGATACGACGAGTACGAGACCGAGTACGAGTACGAGTTTTAAAGTTGGTCCTGTGCACGTGGTTAAAACTAAATCGTAGTCGATTTTCGATTTTTTACAATCTAAAGTTTCAATCTACGTACACTATCACGACTATAAAAAGATAGTGGCTCTCTTTAAAAGTTTAACACTCGTACTCGTACTCGTTCTCGTACTCGTCGTCGGATCTCAAGGTCTCTAATGTACCTTTTTACTCGTTAAATCACACGCGAATCATAAAAATGCATTTACGGGGCCGGAACTTGTTTGGGTTATTATACACGGGAAACAGGAATCTTGACTATTTTTAGCAGTGATTCTTTAAGTGAATAGTTGAATGGCAATATATTTTTTATTTTGATTTTAGTGATAATATCTTGAAGATTTTAAGGTTTATTCTTCCAATATTTAAACCTTCTGTAATATAGTTTCAATCTATCTATGTATTAGGGGGAGGAAGGGTTGATTTATGTATTCCAAGACCAGAATTTCTTCTGAATATTGTGATTTTGCAAGTTAAGTACGTAGTATTTTAGTCCGAGAAAACATTTCAAGAAGCTAGTATATACATTGTAGGACATTTGAGAGGCGTCAAAGAACGAAGAACACTACATATTGATTAGAACTTAAATAATATTTTAAATTACCGTCGTTTGCATTACTACGCGGCCACCCCAGACACAACTCGAGTCGTGTAGTTTGCAATAGACTACCGTCAGTCATTCATGTGGACGCCATTTATACACGTTTGTATCAGTGAGTTGGCTTTTTCTATCAAACGTTCTCAGTAGTCAGATATCATGAAGGAAAGTTCCGAAAGCGATTGCAAAGAGTTTCAGTACATCCAAGTAGAATGAGGTGTTTGATTGACGGCAGTCTATTGCAAACTACACGACGAGATTTGTGTCTGGGGTGACCGCATAGTAATGCAAACGGCGGTAATAATAATAATAATCTTTAATAACCATTCTTGCAGTAGAAAATGAATTACAATCGATAACAAATGTACTAGAACATTTTATTTCGCGCGCGCCTTTGTTTTTGTATATAATTCCCCTATGGTATCTAATGTCGCTCTAAGAGTATGTAAACAGCGACATTAGATACCAGGGGGGGATCCATATATAGAAGGGCGGGAATGCTCGTTGGAATTTTTGAAAATGACTCCTAAAAGATACAAACAACTTCTTTCTAGTAGTCATATTAGTGGCAGGTTTCGCCCCTAAGGAACGAGGTCAAGACAATGTTTCAAAATAGGGACCCGATTTTATGAATTAAGGTGGTGGGTACCGGTACATACCCCCTCCCCCCTCAGAGACCTGTTCAAATGCTCGATACTGGGGGTCTGTAGTGGCAATTTCTATACACAAATATGTTTTTTAGCATACATGCAGACAGACAGTCCATTCATTTGCGTGATTCGGCTTTTAGTTTTGGAGATATTTGGGGACAAAATCTAAGATTTCACTTCCAGGGATGGTGGGTACCGGTAACACCACCCCTCCCCCTTAAATCGGGTCCCGTGAGGCGACAATTGTTTTGCCCTCATCCCTAATTGGAACTAAATGACGTAATTTTATAGCATTTTAATTAGCTTTTCATTAAAGCACCCTAAAAGGTACCCAAAAAAGCGAAAATTAACACCTAAAAGATACGACAAGCATCCCCGCCCTTCCGCACATATATGCCCCTCCCCCCCCCCGGGGCTGTGCCACACCCCACATGCACAATGTGATGAGAAAAAGCGTAAATACAAGTAAAGTACGAAACAAAAGAGAAAATAAGAGTCAAGAAGATAGGAAATGTAACACTTCGTAGAGGCGTCTGACAAAGAATACAACTATGACAGATATTATCCAGAACTGCAGCAATAAGAATGAAAGACCGAGAACCGAGGCAAGAAGACTGGAAGCGTAACACTATGTAAGAACATATTTTCTTTCTGTTTTCGATACTTGCGCCATGTAAGCTACTCTATAATCCAAAGGGGGGGGATGTATACACCTATTTCAAAAAACGTTGTCGGTCGGATATCTGAAATCTGAAATCTTTCCTTTATTTTGGGGTGGACGATAAAGGATTTCGTGGGGGAAATTTAAAAATATTTTATTTTCATTTTGTAAAAACCAATTCCCTTTCTCGTAGAAATACAAGGAAAGTAATGTTCCTTTGCACCATATGTTCTAGGAGGAGAAAGAGGAGGAAAACAACAAGGAGAGAAAAGGAAAAGGAGATGAAAAAGATCTGCAGGAAGACTAAAACATTTGTGGATGGTTGCAGCTATTCCCTATTCCTTACATGAAACTCAGTCATAATGTTTGCAGTCTTGTGCAACCCAGGGTGGCTGTTTTGTTTGGTATTCCCAGTCTGGACCCTGAAAGATAACAGACATTTTAAACTTTGGATAGATCTTCATCATCCTCATCACCAACTTCAGCATCACCCTTATCATCATAATCACCAACACCATCACCATTGCCATAATCACTATCATCACCATTGTAATCATCATCATCACTATCATCACCATCATCACCATTGTCATCATCATAATTACCATAATCATCATTATCACCACCACCATCAACATCACCATCACCATTGCCATCATCATCATCACCATCATCATTATCACTATCATCACTATTGTCATTATCATAATTACCATCACCATCATCATCACCACCATCATTATCATGACAATCATTGTCATCACCATAATTTCCATCTTCAGCATCACCCTCACCATCATCATCACTATCTTCAGCATCATCCTCATCACCAACTTCAGCATCACCCTTATCATTATAATCACCAACACCATCACCATTGCCATAATCACTATCATCACCATTGTCACCATTGTCATCATCATAATTACCATAACCATCATTATCACCATCACCATTGCCATCATCATCATCATCATCATCACCATCATCATCACTATCATCACCATTGTCATTATCATAATTACCATCACCATCATCATCACCACCATCATTATCATCATGAAAATCATTTCCATCACCATCATCATCATCTCTGTTGTATTCTGATTGGGTTAATATTATCCTATACCTTGTACGAGATAGCGTGTAAGCACATCGTTAGTTCTTCAGGCGTAGGATCTCTTCGTTGTATTCGACATTCGCTGCAGTCTCCATCTTTAACATACAAACTCTTCTCCATACGACCAACACTTTTCTCATCTTCTGAATGGTCTTCTACCGAGCTGTGTGCCATATTTTCCATAAGATTTTCACTCTTATTTCTATTTTCTGTGATATCTGTGTCCATGATCGTGGTAGACTCAGCTAACGCTTGAATGACCTGAAATGAAATGTAACGAAAAATACTCACGGGCTATGTTACATACATTAGCTGTGACGTAATAAAATTCAGCAATATTAGACGTCAAATTTAAGAAAGTCGAGATGTTTAATTATCATATGACCCGTCAAACGGCCAGATGATCGCGGCGCGATACACAAGAGACTGTTGCGCCAAAGCAGTGCGGCACTTGGGAAGACGTAGACTGTCTCTATTTTTAGTATTGTTGTTTTGCAACATATATTATATACCTTTAATGCCTGATCATCTGTGACTCCACCCTTCCCCCTGTTAGTACCCCATACTGGGCTGTTATAGATGGGGTCATCTATGATAGGATACCCTAACCATTGTAGATGGACTCGTATTTGATGCATACGACCAGTGTAAGGGATACCTAAAAGAAATAGAATTATGGAATAACTGTTATATATCTCGCATTCTGATTGGTTGGGAGCGCGTGCTTTATGAGAGCATAGATTCGTCTGCATTTGCATAAACTTCAACTTGGATTTTCTCTATCAAACTTGATTCATTTCGTAAAGAATTCGGTACTATATGAGAACATACATCATGAGTTTTTTTAAGCCGTTTAATAAACTCGTAGATCGTGTTTTATCGGATCTAAACCTGTTCGGTTGCGCCTCGTGTTTTAGGCCCGATAAAACACTCTTGCTCGTCTATTAAACAGTACATACACCACGCGCGCGTACTTTCAGTTGCGTTATTCCTATCCAAAATAACAGCTATTGTCATTTGTGTTTCATAAAAGAAATAAAAAGCTTGCTTGCTGTGCTGTGTGGAGTTATAAAGCACTTTAGAATTAGCAGAACACTTGAGAAGTGTTGAGAAGCAACAAGTCGTGCTTCTCCTAACACTTCTCTCTTGTTCTGCCAATGCACACGTGCTTTATAACTGCACAAAGCACGCGCGCGCCTTTTCTATTTGTTCATCAAGGTCTATAAAGTTGCTAGTAACAACATTCTCGGTTTCAGTTGAAACAATTTCCTGTGTCATGCAAAATGTTCATCAGCTGCATCGCAAGTTTTCATTGGAATAAACCAGCAGACAATGAAACCCAATCTTAGGGCCCGAATAACGCTCCAAGTATTTTTGGTATACAGGATCTACAATGATGAATTTATTTATGAGCTAGGAAAGTAGTATAGAAACTATTGACTACCACATGTGATGTTAAGTACAAGAATCAAACCCGACCCCAGAGGTGAGAGGGGCGTATTGCTGCATCATTGGATATCTAACTTTATAAAATAACTGTTCTGATTCTTGCCTTCTGATTGGTTGCGAGCGCGTGCTTTATGAGGGTACACAGCACACACGCGCACTTTCAACTGCGTCATTATCCAAACTAACGATAATCGTAATTTGTATTTTATAAAAGAAAAAAACTTGCTAGCCGTGCTGTGTGGAGTTATAAATATCTCCTAACACTTCTCTCGTGTTCTGCCAACCCCCGCGTGCTTTATAACCGCACACAGCACACGCACGCTTTTTACTGAATTTCTTCAGTAGCGAAAATTGGCTACACACGCACGTTACAGCGCGCAACRTCACTGATTATCCAATGATAATGCTGTAACACAGCACGGTCATGACACATCTCCGTACAGTACGTTTTTTCACTGTAAATTGAAAATAAATGCATCTTCACATTATCAAAGTAGTATGCGGATCCCCCCGAAGCGTAGCCTTGTAAATAACCAATCAGCGCGCGAGAAACTTGTAATATATTTCAAGATTGGAGTTCGCTGTTATGCACTTACATTGAACAACGCTTGACTTGCCATTTCCATGTAGCTTGGTGAATACAGTTCTACAAGTCTTGCCATTGGGACTGACTCTACACACACCTATCTTGTGAGACACCACTAGGATGGGCTGCTCGCAGTCTATTGGCTCACTGTTATCACGTGATAAAAACAAACACACGATTACCATATAAGAATGCCAGAATAAGCCGTTTTCTCAAGGTGAACCCTGAAACAACCTCTGGGCTGATCTAAGTCAGGGCATGGCTAACTCACAGATAGAACCCTGAAACAACCTCTGGGCTGATCTAAGTCAGG